ATGATTCATGCCAGCTCGCATTACAAGAGTATAAATTTCAATGCAAGATTTGTGCATCCACCTCGCATCCTGCATCAACAAAAGTTTCAAGAGTTTTTGATAATTAATTTCAAAAAATTATACTAAACAAAATAAACTAGTGTTCAGTGAAGATGAAATCTTTAATGGGAAGTAGAGAGCTGTAATTAGAGAGGAAACACAAAACCTAGGGTTTCTATTTCAAATTAAATAAAAGCAAAAACCCTAGAAATCAATAATAATAATAATAGTAAGAAAGCGCGAAATTAATAAAAATTTGGAAAATTAAATTCCAACTTACACGTTAAATGATAGATTAATACGAGTTCATTCGCACTACTTCTTCTGATTGTCGTTCGATCGATGGGAAGGAGGGAGGGAAAGTTTTCTGTTTTCAACGTCTTTGAAACCCAGAGAGAGAAGAGAAGACACGCTACGAACAATCTTCACAATGTTGAAGTTACAATAATGCCCTTTTGCAAGGGTATAAAAGTTTACTCACCCAGACCTGAGACGGTTCACCGTTGTCTGAAAATTTTAATCTGTTGTGAAATCAGTAAGACAAATAAAAAACCTACATGGGATCGAAACAAATTTTTTTTAACATATGGCAGTTTTTTATTGGTCCCACACAACTCGGTAATTATCACAACAGATTAATTTTTTTGCTGGCCGGTCTCATGTCTGGGTGAGTTTTACATTTTATACCTTTACTGGCCTGTCTCGTATTTTTGTCAAAAAAAGAGGAGAGAAACCAAGGATAGCATGTGCGAACTAATCTCCTCCACCCATTCTGCTTATGTGGCAAAGCAATGATTAATAAATTTGTTAATTGTTGGATAAGTAAACTTGCTACCAATGTCGCTAATAAAACTTATTTTTCAATAAAACCTGAATAAAAAACTTTTGTACAAAAGTAGTTAGTATTGAATAAAAAAACTTTTGGATTTATCAGAATATTATTAGTAGTTCTTCCATGTTTAGATGATCCATTGGTTTGATATGTGTTTAATCACTCTCTGTATTGTATATGCAATTTATTCATGGATTTAGGGACTCTGTAGCAATTTGGATAAGAATGTATTCTGCTTCCAACTCATATTGGCAATTTCTTATTGGTCTCATTAGAGCCCAATAATTATAACAA